TGTAATGAAATATTTTATATACTGATCAATATGAATAATAAAGGCCACTATGTTAAAATTAGGGTAATAGCGTCATATTTCAAGTTCACAATATTATTAAACGTTGTATTAGTTTTAATAAAGGTTACTAGGTTAAAAATAAGGTTACTATGTTAAAAATAATGGTCACTATGTTCAATATAATGTCAGTTGCGTGTGTATGGACCTCGGGTCCACAATAATATTATTGTGGACCAGGTCCACGCAAGTCTTTTTGTTCTCTTTATTGGATTGAAGTCTTTCATGTTGTTTCATTTATTGGATATTTGGATTGATGCCTGCTATTTAGTTTACATGACAATCCCGCAAATTGTTTCGCGTTTCATTTCTTTAGTTGTTTGATGAGTACTGAGCATGGATTACATGAACCTTTGAAGAGGCAAGAGGAGGTCCTTGCTTTAATAATTACATGGACGGACAAGAGTACATGTAGATTTACTCATATTCAAGTTGAGTTTGGTAAAAAAAATCATCCGTTTCAATTTGGAAGTGTTTAGAATATTGGTTGTATTTTTGAAAAGTGGGAGGAAAAAAAAAAGTAAGAGTGGGAGGTTTTTTTTTTTCTTTAAACCTTTACAAATGATGGAAACAAGGGCTGCGTTAAGAAAAGTGAGGTTGCGTTTAGCAATGCCCACTTTTTTTATTTTTTGGACAGAGGTTTTGGTATCTATGATATTTATTGTCTTTTACTTCCTCCGTTCTTTTTTATTTGACCCGCTTTTAATAAGTAATATCATAATATATAACTTTTATAATTTTTACTTATTAGAGGGATTTATAGTTATAGATTTTCACCTATTATAGTGATAAATGAAACAAGTCAAGTAAAAAAACATAGGAAGTATTTATTTAGGAGTACTGTTTATTTATTTATTTATTTATTTTGAATGGGCCTCTTTTAGTCTTTTGTGTTATTCTAGAGATATTTGATAATGTTTTGGAGCATAGACAATTTTGGGCTACGCTAGTACACTTAAAACATTCAAGGTTTGCACCATATATTTAAATTTTTGAATAGGTAAGAAAAAAATACTCAGAGTATATTATGAGTAAATTCTTCTCAAGAAAGGAATTTTGTAATATATTTCGTAATGTATTAGAAGAAAGAATGGTAAATACAAACATTTATATTCATACTGCCAAATACTAAATGGCCTACATTAATTATCTAATCTGTTGTCCGATTTGACTCTCGATAGATGCAATAATATTTCAATTGTAAAAATGAGTGGTGAGAGAACTAGTGTCTTTGGTAATATGCATGCAATTAATTTTTTTTACAAAAATTCAGTTTGTTTATAGTAGAGTAAGAACATTTTAAATACATAATATTATAGGTGAACATCAAATTTTGGAAGAGTCGCTTATAAATAGAGAATAACTAATTTACTAATAAAGATCACATCTACTATAGGAGGGTTACATAGGCAAAGTTTTAATAAAAATTTACATTTTATTTTTTGTCAATCACAAGGATTATTTTACACTTTCTTATAGTTGATTATAGTAATTCATATTCATAATTGGAACATATTATATTTAATATATTCAATTTTCAATTTGATACAAAGTAGTTTGAAAAAGGCTATAAAGCCCTCAACATCCAAATAGTATAGAAGAACATATGTAATCTTACTTAATATGTATTAACATTGCTTAATTCGTCAAGAATAAGGCGTAAAAAAAGAAAAAAAAAATTCATAAAAGGTGTTGCAAATTGGATTATATGTTAGGATTTGACCGTCTAACGAATTTTAATAATTTCCTATGATATATTGGTAGATTATTTAGAACTAGTATGATATGGTTTCACCCAAGACTTTTGTTAGTGGAAGAACAACAAAAGAACAATGAAATTTGTTTTAGACCCAAGTATGAAGTATTTGTTAAAATAACTTATTCTTATCATTTTGTTGGAAGAAAGGTTTAGTGTCATACTTGGTATACTTGTTGCAAACTTAATTCATTGTACCAAATGAGAAACAAAGAACAAAAAATATTCTTTGGCAGAGGGAGGTAAGTTAATAGTAACTTGTAAGGAAACCATTGGCATACATATATGCAAAGCTAATAATATTAATATCACTCGGCCATATCTCATCCCTTTTCCTTATTTTTCATTGTCATGATATCAACTTTATGAACATGCACAAGTTTGCTACATTTACAATGAAGTTTTGCTTGATAAATCTACGAAAGTTGTTACTTTCTAGCTCCAATTCTTAAGGCACCCTCCCATACTGTGAATACTGATAGTTGTTAAATTCAATGAATAAACTAGATACGGAGTATATGATTCGATGCCATACAATCAACGTTTGTAGTTTGATAGAGTTGTAGTAATTCCTTGTAAGTGTAGTTTCATCCTTGTTAAGTTTGCTTTCTGAACTTCTCATTGCTTAATTGGTTTTTATACGAATCTTGAGCTTGTTTTACATGAACATTTCTTACCATAATCTAAATTGTTAAAAAAAAGGTGAAGTGAATATTGTTTTTATTTATAGGCCAAGTTTAGCTAGAGATGATTGGTATCAACATAATTTACTTACAGCATCCTTACTTTACATACACCTTTTTAAAATTTATTTTTTCAATACTACGAGTACTATTACATGTTTTCGAAATGTGAAGCACAAATTGCATAAAAATAGATATAAATATAGATCTAGTGTGCCAAGAAATAAGCCTGAGGCAAATGCAAAGCCAGCAATAGCAAGATTAGCAACCAAAACAAAAATTCAGAAAAGTTCCAAAAAGGCAGAGACAGTTACTCTTTGATTCTAACTACTCTGTCTCTTGCAATTCAGTGGCCTACCACTACTTTTTTCAAAATAATAGTCATGGCCACAAAGCTCAACAAAAGCAAAGATAACATTAAAAAGTTGTTACTCAACAAATTTGTGCAAAAAGAACATGATTTAGAGCCTTAATTCAAAGTTTTAAAAAAAAACTACAATCAGAAACACCTGTCAATTGAATCTTTGTCATTTAAATTCAGAAATTTAAGATTTTGGATTCCTTAATAATTACTGATAATTTGCTGTCATCTTTGGGACAAAACAAATTATTGCTTCATCTTTTTTTATGATCTCTTTTTAAATCCTCTAACCAATCAATGTCAAAACTTTTTTGAAAAACAGTTTAAGCTATGATAGAGAGCTAAGTAATTGTATACAAAAGGTGCTACATTTAATGATTACTTTGCATTATAAATCAGTGAATTTGAACATAGTATTACATTGGAAACTTTTGAATTACTAGCAGGGGCAGTAGCAGCATACAGATCCACTTGTAGGGGCTCTTTCTTTTGTTTAGCTCTAATAATAAGGAGAGTTAGTTAGAAGAATGATTTATTATTTGGATATGCTTAATAATATTACTAATCTTTCATGACTTGAAATAATTATATACTCCTTTTATCCAAATCATTTGTTTTTCACATTATTAGTTCAAATTACACTATCAACGTGACTATCAATTCTGGACAATTGAGGAACTACATAAAGTAAAAAAACCTAACTTGATAAAATTTCAGCCAAGTTCATTGCGGATCTAAAGTTATATGATGAAATAACTCTCCAACAGGTGCAAGTAATTTCCCTTGAGTCAATTTGAAGAAAGTTTCCCCGGCCAAGACAAAGTAAGAACCTTCAAGTCTACGTTAGTGGTTAGTCACATAGTGTTGGGATGATCTATCAAGCCTCAAGTTAAAATTTAGACACAAAGAGATGTATTGCATAAGTATGCCATCATATAGTCACAAAAGTAAGTAACATATAAAATCAATAGACAAAGTAAGAATGTTCATATGAAATTTAGAAACAAGATTCACAACTCATGAAGCTAAGGTAGTTTAATTTCACATGTCAATATGTGACAGGCACAAGAAGCTGGAGAGCAATCATACCTGTAAAAGGCAAGGCAACTTCTCTCCTACCCTGTCTTGGTCCTTAAGGCTTTAAATAATTTTCCATTTTATGCCCTTTACCTTTTTTTTTTTTGTTTGTTTAAATGTTTATAGTAACAGGATTGTATGTAGGTGACCCTTTACTGTCCAGGCCAATCCTTGAGCAATCTTCTACTTCAAGCACCCCTCTACCAAGATAACAGAAAGATTTACTGTCACTCTTTCATATATATATGCTTTAATTTCTCTCATATATATATTATTGTTCTACTCAATTTATAAGAAAAGGGCATGTCAGAAATAAATATGGTTGGACAAACTAAGGCCTTATGACTATGGGAACAAAAGGATAAGTTTTCATATTAGAGTAGATTGTGCAGATAAGTTACAATGAGCAAGTCATGTTTAGAGCAGATTAAGTGTGAATGTGTGATGGTCTGGATGTCCTGTAAATGACCAGGATGTCCTGTAAATGACCAGGATGGACTGAATAATATCGAACCTTAATTGTGTTTTGGTATACTTGACTGAATTGAGCACATGTGGGCATATATGTGGGCATTGGAGAATATAAACCCACCAAGGTTCCATCCTAAAACCAATTATTGGTGAAAGGGTGAGTGTAGCCCATCAATCTTATGTATTTTAGTCATTCTCCCTGTATTTCTTTAATGTGTGACAACTCGTGTCAACTCATGTGGTCTTTTTTACTAACAATTTGTCTATTACATACTGAAATCACTTTTTTTTTTTTCTTTTTTTTTTTTTGATGAGTATTACTAAAATCACTTCAGCACATTATAGTTGCAAATTATTTCACAAGCATTTAATTATTGGGCCTACTATTATGAGTTTCATTTTTTTAAAAAGGATATAAGTAATGGAGGGTAAATACCAATCATAAAAATAAAAATTATGTACTAAAAGTTTGGATAAAATGTACATAGGAACAAATTATGTTGTTAGATGAATTTGCCAATTCACCAACTTAAGAAAATAGCAATCCTACCAAAGGAGGTCCATCACCAATGTTTAAATCCATATATAGATATTAAGTGAGGTGTATTAAAACTTTACTACAACTCAATTATTTAGATCAATTTTAGAGATGATCTTTCTTTTATTGAAAGAAGAAGAAAAAAGGAATTTTATTGGGACCTTCAGGCTACAAACTGTCCCTTAGAAAAAGGTCAGGAATTTCTCACTTTCACTACTTTTGTTTTTGTATTGTAAATTAAAGAGTAACAACATAGGCAGTTTAGTCATTTCATGTTAATGTATAATAGTATATTATATCATACATAATACATTATAGTATACGCTTTTAAAAAAGATACCTGTAAATACTATAGTTTAATTTAATTTCATAAGTTGGTTCATTGCCTTAAAAGCCAAACTTGATGAGAATCCAATAAGCAAACTGTGTAACAGGAAAATAAAGAAAGAAGCTAAGCTAAGTGCTGTTATAAAACAACAAAAGAGGTGCTATATATTTTGAAGATCAGGTGATTTGGTATATTGGAAATAATGACAACACCAAAAACAGATTTGGGAGCAACAACATCAAGGGATGAAGACTAAGAATTCGGGTACTATGAGTTTCATGGGAAGTCCTAATATGGAAGACAAGGATGAAGAGATGTCGAAGTCGGTCTTATCGGCTTTTCGAGCCAAGGAAGAAGAGATCGAGAAGAAGAAGATGGAGGTTAAGGAACGTGTTCAGGCTCATTTAGGTCGTGTTGAAGAGGAAACTAAGCGTCTAGCTGAGATTCGCGAGGTATGTTTTTTTTTTACCTCTTTTAAGGGGCTTTCGAGGTTTTCATTTGAATTTGGTCGGGTTTTTCTTAGGTAGGTTGCTTTGGGTTAGGTGATTTTACTTTTATTTGGTATTGTCGGGTTTAATTTGTGTTAATGAATCTAATTTTTCGAGTCTTAATTCAATGTCCATATTAAGCAATTCGTTATTAATTTGAATTTGAAATCATATTTTTAGCAATAGTACCATGAATAATTTGTAAGGGTGTACTTAAAATTTTAGGAACTTGAAGCATTAGAAGATCCAAAAAGGAAGGAAGTTGCATATGTTCGAAAGAGGATTGACACTATCAACAAAGAGCTAAGGCCACTTGGATTTACATGCCAGAAGAAGGTAAACTTTTCACATCTTTCGCTGTTTTTTTATAAATTTTGTTTTAGGATCTTTGTTAACATCGGTTAATGAATTGAATTAAAATAGTTTGTTGAATGGTCTTTGCTTTTTTAGTATTTACAAAGTATATACATTTGTTGTTTATTTGGTTTAAGGGTCAATTGGAAACAATCTCAAACTAAGATTAATTATGTCCAACAACCTCTTTTGTCATCTCATCATAGGCGAGAGTATCTTTAGAAGTTGTTGCGTAAGAGACTAGAAGTGTACTAATAGGTTTTGACTAGATTATTGTTTCGAGGAAAGTTTTATAGTAGTCATCTTTTTTATATACTCATTTGATTTTGATAGGAACGAGAATACAAAGAAGCTCTTGAATCCTTCAATGAGAAAAGCAAGGAAAAATCTCAGCTTGTTGCCAAACTAATGGAGGTAACAAAAGTAATCACAACTTTCATCTATTATTGGTTTCAATATTTACTTAAATTAATCACAAATTTTAATTAATTAATTTTAAATAATTATTCTTATATAATTTGCAGTTGGTGAGTGAAAGTGAGACTCTGAGGTTCAAGAAGCTGGAGGAGCTCGGCAAGCATATTGAATCTCTTCATTGATTTATTTTTATAATTCTAATTCAGTATCATTAACTGGCTGATTTTTAGCACTTTTTTCCTTTTTATTTTGGCGTGGTTCACTAGAATTGATTTGTTTGATTTTGTGTATTTTAATATTTTTGGGGTTACAGAATTCATATTGTTAGCTGGACATTTTAGAGAACTTGCTCCATCTGGAAATTGTTGTGTTCAAATGTGAATAATATGTGTATTATACTTCTATAATACTTGAGAAAGTTTTCAGATTTGTATACAAATTTTGTGCATTATGGAATATCTTGTGTTATGTATGTTGCTTGTTGATTAAGATTAATATGCTAAACGGAAATAAAATTCACTTACCTCAATCATTTGTTGCGCTTTGTGTACAAGGCTATATTTGTGTACAAAATTGTAAAGATGTCTAAGTTACCGTTACTAAGAATGATGAATATCATAGAGTAAATAGATTATTTATATATAAAAAAAAAAAAAATAAGACAAATTATTTGCTTAATTGCCCCTCAACAATATATGCCAAAGTTTGTACACATATTTCATATTTTCAATTCAATATGCATTATGCCAATCAATCTATAACATAAAAGTATAGTACTAAAACAGATACCAGGAATGACACGTGTCACTTTCTGGTACTGTTTTTTCCCTTCAAAATTGTTTTCACTTTTTTTTTTTTGGCCGATGATATCAATTGATATCAATTACTTAGGGACCCTTTGGTTTGTACATGGTAAACGGAATAGAATGAATAAAGAGAATGAAAGAGAATATAGAATGAAACCCTTTCTATGTACTATGTTGTTTGTTTTACAAAAACAAAGAGAATCACCACCACCACCACACAACCCCTCTTTCCCACTTCTCCAGCCACGACCTCCCCACCCCTCACCGCCCGTCGTCGAACCTCCCCTACCCCTCGCTACCCCGGAAAACCTTCCCCCGCACACGCAAAACCCTAGAAAACGATCCTCCTCCTCTTAAAACCGCCAATCGTCCCTTCTATTTGTTTCTCATTGCATGTCATGCACTTATAATAAAAAAAATTAGTTATCTTCAAGATTTGAACATACAACCTCTAATTCCAAAATTGAATGTCTACCACCAAATTATGTGACATTTTATGTTATTTTTTGAATACAAAATATTAATATCCAGCGAATGACAATATGAATAAAAATTTTAATTACTAGAAAATTGAGTCATAAATTAAAAAGTATATTAATGATTAATCCCATAATGTGAACCGGGACATCACAGAGGCCTAAATAATAGATTAAAAGTAAATCTCGTCTATAGCCTAATGGCCCGAACCCGACCCCCTCCCAAAAAAAAACACTAACAACTTGGCATGAAGGATCACTAACTAAACATTACTCCGTAATCCACATCAAACAATTTGGAGGATGCGAAAAAATGGAGCTCCAAAACCCTAACAATGGCGGAGGAGAAACTAAACCCAAATTAGTGGTGATTATGGGTCCAACCGGGTCCGGAAAATCAAAATTAGGCATTGATTTAGCAACCCATTTCCCGGTTGAGATCATCAACGCTGATTCCATGCAAGTCTACCATAGCTTGGATGTTCTCACCAACAAACTCACTCTTTCTGAGCAGAAAGGTAACTTCTTTCTCTTTCTCCCTCTAATTTCTCTCTTTAGTTTCTCTCTCTAGTTTTTCTGAATTTGGGGTTTTGTGTTGCAGGAGTGCCGCACCATCTTCTGGGAACAATCAGCCCTAATGTGGAATTCACTGCAAAAGATTTCCGAGATGCTGCTATTCCTGTAAGATTTTGCACCTTTTTTTTTTTTTTTAATTTTTGTAGCTGCTAATTTGGGTCTGATTTGAATTCTGGTTTTATGAACTCTTTATCGGGTTAATAGTGATTATGTATGCATTATTATTTATTATGCGTTAAGCTCCTAATTTAGAAAGGGTGATTTCCTGACGGTAATGAATAGTCGCGTTGATAGTGTAATTTGAACTACCCCGGCCTGAGGAGTGGTTTGCTTCCCTATTTTGCCAGGCATTGTTGTTGAATTCATGGAATGAAGACTAGTAGTTGATAATTATGCCAACAATTTCCCTCTTATAGATGAATATAGGTCCATTTTGCTTCTCTGTTGTAAATAAGTAGACCAAATTACAGACCTGTGTTCGTAAACTTTGGAATTCTGATTTTCTTTACATCAATGTATGTTGGTAATTGATTGTTTTGGATAAAACTGAATGATAATCGAGGAGGCGTTCTTGTTCTATCTTATAAGCATCAACAGTTGCCGCTTATTAGGTTATTTGTTCAGTAGCTTATTTTTGTTTTGGGATAATGAATCTCATTGGCATCTGATGCTGCCTTTTCGAAGTTAAATTGCATTTGATGCTCTCTGCTAGAATTTGGAACCTGTTATTCTCCTTCTTGTGTTTGTGTTGGGGCGGGGGTAGGGTTCAAGGTGGGGGAGTTGGGGGGGGGGGGTAAGGGGAGGGTAACACCCCAGTCTATGTACTTTGTCCATACTTGAACACACCTTAGGAAACTTTCTTAAGATCACCTATCCCAAGACTAGTCTTACTCAAAGCACTTATATTGAAAAGTGGAGTGTCTCGTTGTTTTGGTGGAAGGGATATATTTCATATAAATCAATCACTTTCCTTGTAATCTAATGATGTGGGACTTTGGTATGTCTCAATAAGTCAAGAGGAAGGATGGGGTGAGGAAGTGGGGGTGATTTAACTAATCTTTTCCTTTGACCCGCATCTGGTTTCTTATTGTTGCAACTGTTTTGTGTGATAAACTTCTGGAAAAACTAGTTGTAAATTTGCAATTTGTGATTGGAAGAAGTGTATTATGGAATTGCAGATTTTTTTTTTTTTTTTAATTTTTTTTAATTTTTTTTTATGTTTTTTTTTTTTTTTTTTTTTTTTTTTTTTTTTTTTTTTTTTTGTAATTTGTGGTATTAGCATTTAGATTCACTGTCATTGGCATATGGAAATCTGCCCCTTTAGTTTTCATATGCATTTTTTGCTGGCTGTGGTTTCCTAATTATCGTCCTTTGGTAGTTCGGCATTTTTTAAAGATAATTCATCATTATTTTAATACAGAAGCGATGTGTGTTGCTATGTGTAACAACATTTGTTGGATTTTCAGATCATCAAGGATATTTTATCTCGCAATCATTTGCCCGTTATAGTTGGCGGTACTAATTTCTATATACAGGTATGATCTTTGGTTCATTTTGGCCTTTTAAGCTTTCTAGCTATGTAGCCGTATTTCCTACAAAAAAATTTATTTGGGCAATTTTAATTATACATACTCTCAAGTATGGTGTATTATGTTTTCTTTCTTTGCATAAGCCCTCAATTTTTCTGAATCCTAGTTGTCTGTACATTGGAAATTAAGTAATGCTCTTATTCTCTACTTATTTCATATTTTTTAGTTGACAGATTTGACTTTTGACACTATGTTAAAACTCTAATGAACGGAGGAAGAATATATCTAGCCATTTCATTCTGGTTTTTATGTACCTGTTATGGTCTATTGTACCTAATGATGCTACTTAATCTGTGTTGCATGCAGGCTCTTGTGAGTTCTTTCCTGCTTGATGATTCTGTTGAAGAAATAAGTGATTCATGTATAAGGGAGAATTCAGGTAAACATAAAGGTTATCATTTGGTAGAAGAAAGTCTATTTATCTTCTTATCTACACCTATTGTTTTCTTTAAAAGCAAATATCTTGAATCTTCATTGCAAATAAGCACATTTCACAACAATTTAGATCTTCTTGTCAGGCTATGATCATAATATAAACTTTTCTTTTGTAGATGTTGCTAATCTGCAAAAATGTGAACTTTTTGAGCAAGGCAGTTGTGATTACAGTTATGACCGCCTTAGAGACCTGGATCCTGTGGCAGCGAACAGAATACATCCAAATGACCATAGAAAAGTAATATTCTCAATCTCACATTCCATGTCCATCATTTTGAATTATTATTTGGAGTTAGGGAAGGGGTTAAAGATATGGGTGACAATAAAGATATTTTGCTAAGATACCCCTTGCAATGCTTCTGGACCATCATTTGACTAATATTCAGTGATAAGACTGATAACCTTAGAAATTTCTTGAAGTTGATCAATAAAGTGAATTTGATGCAGTTTAAGGCCAAAATTGAGTATAATACTGTTGGGCCGTTGGATAATGGCTATAATAGATCAGAATATCGGCTGTAAACTGCATCATTTATTTGGTGATTAAATTCTATTCACCACCCCCCAAAAAAATATAATTGTTTGAAGTCATGCCTGCTGCCTATCTATCTTTTCTGTTAAAGTTGCTTGACTTTTATGGTCTGATGTTTCTGCTAATTACTTTCATTGATTTGTGGTGAATTTGTTGAATATTTTGCAGATTAGGCAATATTTAGAGTTGTTCACTCGTTCTGAAATCCTCCCTAGCCAACTCTTTCAGGGAGAAATGACAGAGGTTTGTATTCTTAAGATATGAAAGGACTATTTTGGAATTGACTTTGTTATATTGGGAACTTGGCTTGATTAGGTAGACTTGTATATCCATCTTGTATCTGGATCAATGCCTGTTTTTGCATGCTGTTCAGCCTTTTTTGACTGCTTGCTATAATTTTATAAGCAAATAGGGCCTGTACTGGGAAAATATAAGAAGATAGAGTTGCTAACTATATTTGAAAATGAAATTCTCTTTCATGGCATGGCATCATCTTTATGCATCTTTTTGTGTAAGTTTCAGTTTTTGTGGTCAGTCAAGGAGCTGGAATTAAGTCAAATCTTGGATCTTTTGCTTAAAAATTGTTTCACTTTTATGTGGCAGACAGAAATGGGGTCGTCTTGGTTGTAATTCAAGATGGAATTGCTGTTTTGTTTGTGTTGACGCATCTCTTCCTGTACTAGACCGATTTGTGGACCAGAGAGTTGATCGGATGATTGGAGCTGGTTTGCTTAATGAAGTTTATGACATTTACAACCTGAATACAGATTATACACGAGGTCTGCGACAGGCTATTGGAGTAAGGGAATTTGAGGATTTTCTTTGTGCTAAAATTTCTGAAGTGAGGAAGGAGCGGAACAATTCTTTCCAAGATACAGCTTCACTGAATAATACTGATATATCTCTCAGACAAGATTTGAAGGAAGTTTCAAGTTCCTCTTCTGATACCCCAGATAGGCGCCTATTGGAAGAAGCTATTTCCAAACTAAAACAAAACACCAGAC